GTGGATAAATATTTCAAAATTAGTGTTATTCCCCGAGAAAAACAGGACTACAGATTTCAAAATAAGAAGCCTCATATTTCAAAATAATGGGCTTGATAGTGTGGATGCTCCATTTATCAATTCGACTTAAGGGGGGTTATTTCGAAATAAAACCCTAGTGTAGATCAGGATTTGGAGAGCTCAGAAGGTATTATTATCTTTTGCTTGTAGAAACTCTACTTAAGTATTTTGCCTATGGACATGCAATTTTAGCTGCCGTGTTTAGAAATTCTCTTCTTCAATATTCAGCTTCATTGCAAAAGTAAATAATGTCACTGAATTAATAATTTAATCTTGTTTGCTATCACTTGCCCTCTCTGTCTTCAATACAGTCTACTGCATTTCTTCATAAAAGAAAGAAGAAAGGTCTTTAAAAGTTTAGCAGTTATCTAGCGAATTCAGTACAGCTAGGAAGTATGCTTTGAAAAAGCCCACTGTTTGTGAGCTACTAGTTTTATATAGATTAATTGCTTGATGTTTAATTGTTTTTTAAATATTTTTTTTCGCATCCTATCCATGAGATTGGAGATCTGCATCGAAAGTTATTTAAATAGACCAGTGTTTCCCAAATGGTATACCGCGGAACCCAGGGGTTCCTCGAAGTAAACATAAGGGAAAACATAATGAGAAAATTCCATTACAATAACGTTTTATGATTTAAAAAATAATATTTTTGTACACATTAAATGTGATTTATGTTTTTAATTATGTGCAATTAAACTAATAGTAGATATCATGACCTTGTTTAGGATTTGTTTATTATTATCCTCACTTATTTGTGGTCTACTTTTTCAGCTCCATACCTAAGGCTGTTATTAGGGGTGCCACAAAATTATTTTGAGTTTAAAAGGGTTCTGTGGCCAAACGAAACTGGGAAACACTGAAATAGACAATATAAGATGCCCTATGCTTTAGTTGTTTAAGGAATTTGAATATAATATTCAAGGGAGTTTTAAGCAGATGAGTTGAACCCTCCAATTATGACATACCTTCACTGTATGGAAAATATGAATTGTAACTTTTTTTTAGGACTAGCATTTATTTCTAACTACGGCATTTTTTCCTCTAAAAATTCCTAGCACAATTAAAATAATCAAAGGCTGTGTTCTCAGACAACTGACAGCACTCACGCATCATTGTATTGGAGAAAATCACGTAAACCAACCACTTTGCAGAATTTACATGAAATTGGCATTACTCACCAAGGATGGTTATTCATTGTATAAAGGAGACACTTTTTCACATGGGCATTTAGAAGTTACATATAAAATGGAATGATTTTTTTTTTAAATAATGGAAGGCTGCCCCTTCACAGGTGAATATAAATCTAGATAATATTAGATGCCCTCACAAAGCTTTCACTTGTGTTATATGATCTGCACTCAAATTGCATATTCAAGATCTGACTGAGGTAACCTTGGCAGAATATTATGGGTAAGATTAACATAAAGATGAATTGTTCTGGAAGAGTTTCTCCAACGCACTGGGGACAGACATGTTCTCCTTTCAAATCATTTTCATCATTTGTCCGTGAAAAGAAAATTGTATTTGTCTCAGAGCAGAAAATTGAGATACAGAGTTGAATAATGAGAATGCTTTCTTTGGAGCGCTGTCCTGTACATAGCCGAATACCATACATTTATTTGTTTTAGTATATTTATATTCCATTTAGCTCCGTGACAGCTAAGCACTGCCTGCAAAATCTGTAAATGCAAGTTCAGTGGCAAGGATCTGCAGAGTTTCCTGGGTGAAATAGTTGAACTATGTGACTCTCTATGCCAGCTATGGACTATGTACCTGAAATGTATATGGAAACAATTAAAAATAACACAAATACATGTTTTTTATGAAAACTCATTTGCACAATAGTTCAAGCTGTAACTCACAGGTCTCTAAAATCAAGGTTGGTCTTTTGCTAATTTATTATTACCCAAAAAAGGAACAAAACTGGAACACTGAAACCATGAAAGCATTTGCATTCTAGGGTTTGACTTTGCAGTCCCATGAGTTGTTCTGCTGGGTCTGATCAGAGGCTACATCTAAACTATGATCCTCTTGCGGAAGAGCAAATGCAAATGGAGCGCTCATTTGCATATGTCACGCTCTCACTTGCATTTCCTCTTGCTTTCCCTTTTGTGCAAGAAGTTTTTGCACAAAAAAGTGCTGTGTAGACCCCTTTTTCCTCATTTTTTGAGGAAGAACAGCTCTTATGCAAAAGGGGGTTTTTGTGCAAAAACTTCTTGCACAAAAGGGAAAGCAAGAGGAAATGCAAGTGAGAGCGTGACATATGCAAATGAGCGCTCCATTTGCATTTGCTCTTCTGCAAGACGATCATAGTTTAGACGTAGACTAAGACTCAAAAAGGCGCATTTTCCATTCCTAATCAAATGACAAAAATGTGCCACCAACCTTCCATTGCATGAAATGAATGATTCCATAACTAGTAATTGTTGAAGAATGTGAAGAGGCCATCTGGCTCAGGAAGCTGAGAGCTGTTCAGAAATGAATTAACCATATGTTCTTTAGCATTTTTCCCCTCAACAAATATGAATAGAAATGGGAAAGTTTATGATGAGAAATAAATACCCCCAACAAGTACAAGATTGTTCACAACAGTTTAGAATTTTCAACTCTGACCTTAGTTTCCCATCCTGTGACTATTTCTGAGAGTTGAAAAATGTTTCCATCCAAAAATCTGGAAGAAAGTCCCAATTTTTAACCAAATACTCAGAGAAGGGCACAGTCACAAGGTATCATTTCGATAATTTTGAAAAGTGTTTGACCTGTTTTCTTTGTATTCTCTTTTTTCGGTCTCATTTTCGGTCTCATTAATTTACATTTCAAAATAAAAAGTCATTTCAAACTGGAAATGTTCATTTAAAAATGTCAGTGCAAAACATGTTGACAATTTTGAAACTTTTTGCAAAAAGTTGTTCATGTTGGGAGAGTTGTTGAAACTAATGCTGGTTTGTAAAGAGTTTTGTTTCATTTTTTTTAAAATGAGAAACTGGTCAAAACTTCCCCACCAGTTAGTTCTCACCTAAACCTAGATATAGTCACAGATCCAGTAGTAGATTTAGTGTAAGCTGGGGGAGGGATAGCTCAGTGGTTTGAGCATTGGTCTGCTAAACCCACGATTGTGAGTTCAATCCTTGCAGAGGCCATTTGGGGCAAAAATCCATGAGGGATGGTACTTGGTCCTGCTGAGAAGGTAGGGGACTGGACTTGATGACCTTTCAAGGTCCCTTCCAGTTCTAGGAGATAAGCAATCTCCATTATATTTATATTGTGTGCTGCTCTCATTTTTAGCACCAGCCTGCCTGCACTTGGTATCCAGACAAAAAAAAGAACATTTTCTCTTATCTTCCCCATTTTTCATTATTTTTCCCCCATCCTCTTCCTATATTAGGTAAATGAAAATAAAGTGAGGCACCTTTATTGGGGCAAGGAGTTAGGGTGCAGGAAAGGATGCATGACTCAGTTTCTGGGAGGAAGTTTGGGTGCAGAGTGCAAGCTCTGGGCTGGGGCAGAGGGTTGGAATGCAGGAGGAGATCGGGGGGGTGGAGCTTATCTTGGGCAACATGGCTCCCAAAGTGAATGTCACATGTGTCTGGCAGTGGCTCCTAGGAGACAGGAACCAGGGCATCTCTGTGCATCACTTCCCATAGGCACTACCCCTGCAGCTCCCATTTGCTGCAGTTACCAGCCAATGGGAGCTGTGGAGTCAGTGTGGGGCAATGCGCAGATACACCCCCTTACTACAGGCTCTGAAGGGACACTCTGGCTGCTTCTGGGAGCAGTGTGGAGGGAGGGAACCAAAGTGGGAAGGGAGCTGCCTTAGCCCTGCAGAACAGCTTCCAGCACATTTCTTCATGCCCCTTCGGGGTAGGAGGACAACAGTTGTCCTGCTCTGGAGAGGAGGCAGCATGTGGAGCTGTCCCCCTGCCAGGACATGCTGGCTGCTTCCAGGAGCAGCACTTAGCCACCAGCCAGGGCTTGCAGTCAGGCCATCTGCATGAGCTCTGCTACTTTCCTACCTTTGGGGCCCTCCCTCCCATCAGGAGCCCTGTGCCCCCAAACATTGGATTTAAGGGTATCTACATTACAGCGTTATTTTGAAATATCTTATTTCAAAATAACGTGTCTACACACAAAATGCATTTCGAAATAGCTTTCTGCTATTTCAAAATAGCGTGTCCACACTGATTGGATGCTGAATCGCATTTAAGGCCAGCCGGAATGCTGGTTCCGGCAGGGCATCTGGTCAGAAGTTACCTTGTGGCCAGGGCGGCCAGCAGGACACCCTGAGAAAGGCTGGAGGCTCTCTATTTTGAAATAAGCATTTACACAGCACTTATTTCGAAATAGCAATTTCAAAATTAGCGCTATTCCTCGTGGAATGAGGTTTACCAATTTCAAAATAAGCCTTCCGCAATTTCGAATTAATTTTGAAATAGCAGTTGGTTTGTGTAGACGCTAGGAAAGTTATTTCAAAATATGTATGTATGTAGACATACTCTCATGATGAATCCGCTCCTGCACAGATCTGAAGCCAACCATATTCATTAATGAATGCAAGCAGAATGGGAAACTTAGCTTTGCCTCTGAGTGAAGTCACAGCCTGTTATTTTAATGTCTTAAATGCTTTGGATTTTGTTCCACTGTCATGAAGTGCATGATTCAGATGTTTCACAAACATGATGTTCCTGAGATGAGTCGCACAAATCTGACATATAATTACCATGAAAATTGTTCTGCCCTTTAAAAAAAAGTTGCACACCACATGGAGACATTCCAGTATGATTTAGATGAATGCATATGTAACGATCAACATGGGAAGATGGATATGAAAGAATATTTTTTGTTTGTTAGTCTTTAAAGTGCTACCAGACTATTGGTTGTTTTTTAAGTTTTTTATTTTACTACTGTTAACTACAATTCTTTCTGTTGTTGTTTTTCAGAATACTAGTAAAGGATTCTACAGAAAGCAATTGCCTCCGCAGCTCTGCGTGCCAAGTACATGTTGCTTAAAATAATGTGTCATAACATGCGTCTTACATCTACACCCGCTCTTTTATCCTCTGGATGAACATGACTCAGGTTCCGGGGGAGGGAGTGCAAGAGAGAAGAGGAAGGAAGAATTATGTTTAGTTCAGCCAACATCAGTATTCCAGTCATAAGAAAACAGAAAACCTAGTTCTGTAAAGAGGTACGTTTTAACAATGGATGCAACTCACTCCTGCACACACAAAATATGTGTAAATCTCCTAATAGGATTAAGTGGCATTTCATTTGTGAACATGCCTAGCTTCCTGCACAGCGGTGAGTTTCCCCCTTAGGGATTAATGAATGAATATTTAATGGAAGTATGTCAGCTTCACAATCATATTCTTCTTGTTTGTCCATGTCAGGCCTGATTCTAGCCAAACATATACCTCTGCCTATCAGGAGCATGTCTTTGTTTTCCCTCATAGGTCATGTTTTCTAGACCAGCGGTCCCCAACGTGGTGCCTGGGGGCGCCATGGCGCCTGCTGGGGCATTTATGTGTGCCTGCCTAGCGCCGCCCATGGGAGCACAGCACATGTGTGGCCCCTACCCCCAGGCGCGCGGCACATGCGCAGCCCCGCCTCCGGGAGACCCGGCAGCCTCGCGTGGCACCTGCCATCCAAAAAGGTTGGGGACCACTGTTCTAAACCTTTAATCATTTTTTTTTTTTGCTTTTTTCTGGACCTTCTCTAATTTCGCCACATCTTTCTTGAAATGTGGTGCCCAGAACTAGCACCACATTTGTTGTGGAAGTGAGGCTATCACCACTGTGCAGTCCAGGTGAGCTACTATGAACTCTAATTTTTGTGTCAGTGTTAGTTTGCATTTCTGCTGATTTATCTGTAAACGTAGACTGTGAAACATTGACATGGTGAGGTTGACTGCTTCTGCCTCTTGACATGTCTGTGCTTTTAACAGGCACTCAGTCATCAAGATACAGAAAAATGGTGAATCTCCATGTGCAGAAGTATGCTGTCACAATGGCCAGTACTTTGGAAAAGACCCGTGGTACTGTGGAGAGTCCAAAGTGGAGCACCTTGTATTCAAAATGTTTGTTGTTCACCACAAAGCAAAGGTATTTTCAGTATGCAGGATGAATCAATGCATAAAAGTAGCATCTTGCCAGTAGAGGGTTGACAACCAATCTCCTTTCTCTAAGGCAGGGATTATTGTAGATAGGGTGACCATCTTGAAATTTTGTCTTGTAATCATACCTAGCTGTGTTGTGTGCAAGATATTTATTATTAATAACACTTAAGTTTGCGCATACTATGTGCATTGTATCTAGTGCCTTTTTTCTACAGCCTCAAGTCTGGCAATTGGTATTCTGTAAACACAAAGGTACAATGCAATTATAGTTGCAGCATCTGCCTTTGACTAGAAATGGATCAAAAGTTAAATGCGACTACAGCTAGAAATATGCAGTGCAATAGCCATGCCAGTCTGAGGATATTAGAGCGATACGATGGGTGAGGTGTTGTTTTTTATGGACCAACTTCTGTTGGCGAAACAAGTTTCTCTGGGTAAGCTTGAAAGCCGTGCATCGGTGTAAACACAAAAGCTTATCTCTGTCACCAACAGAAGTAAGTTCAACAAAAGATATTCCCCAGCGGGGATGACAGACTCACCCCTGAAGCAAGGCTGAGGATGGCCTGGCTTCCTACCCCAGAAGGGGCAGGGCCCCAGGAAGAAGGGGCGGGGCTGGACTAGCTTCCCCTAGGGAGTCTCAGCATTGGCTGGAGGGCACTGTGCCTCCCCACACACCGTCCCTCAGCGCCACCTGTAGCACGCCACACCTATCACAGGCAGCCTTCAGCACCGCCTGAAATTGCCAACATGAGACACTGACAACGATTTAAAGGCCTGGGGCTCTGGCCGCTGCCAATCCCACAGTAGCAGTGGTGAGGATCCCCGGGCCCTTTTGAATCACTGGGTTTCAGGACAGTTGCCTTTTTGCTCCTCACCTTCCTCCCTCCCCTCCTCCCGTCGGTGAGCTTGATATTACTTCACCCTCTTAGTATTCTACCTGTAAGAAAGACAAACTCAATCTTATGTCCTCCCAGGGAGACGAAAAGTGACTTTTATTAGTGAAGAATTTCACTGTATCTCTTGTAAGAAGAACATCAGAAAACCTAATACAATTCTTTTTTTAAATCTCACAATTTTTGTGACTTACTATGTCATATCCAGTGTTTGGCACCAAGGATCAAACAGCTCACATTCAGTATTCTTTGGAACAATCTGCTTCTTTCTTTGTATATATTACAGCTGACTGAAACGTTTCACATACAAAATATTTGACAGAAAAAGTGTCACACTCAATGAATCTGTTATATTTATTTTTAGTCCACCTTTTGAAAAAAAATAATATTGACAGGTCAAATCATTCTGATCGAAAATATAAATAATTTTTCTTCTTTATATTTTCTGTCCTGTGTCCAAATAGAGAAACAGGTCCTAAGGCTTTTCAACAGGACCTATTTGATTTTTCAAAGAGACTTAATGAATTTTAGTGGGGCTAGTGGTCCTGTGATAGAGCACATATTCCCCATTCTCAGAGAAAAAGTTAACTGGAGCTGGAGAGCAATGAGTGCATCCAGGTTGAGCCAGGCCCAATTTAGGACTAAGCCCAAATGGGGAGGAGACAGGTGGCTGAAATAAAAATGAGTTCCAGTTGGGTGGAGTGTGGTGACTAACAAAGGAAGGACTTCAGGGCAGTAGAAAGAAGGTAGGAGACCTTCAGGAAAGGTAGGCCTTGGGATCTTCTTTTGAGAAAGGAACTCTGGAAAGGTCCAGAAGAGCCTTAGGGAAGCATAGGTCTGGTGGGGAGCAAGCAGTGGTGATCTTTGACAGAAGAGCACAGGGAGGCAGGCAGGGGGTTGGATTTCTGGAGGGAAGAGACATGGACCCACAGAAAGCATTTGAAGGAGAAGATAGGAGTTGGGTCTTCAGGGAGAAAGTTTTGGGAGCACTTTCTTGGTACAACAGTAGGAAATAACTGCAGAGTGCAAGAAGGGGCTAGAGAAAAAGAGCGTAAAGGCAGACTTGGGTAAGAAATGGGCCAGGAAGACAGCTGCTTGCTATGGGGCTGTTGGACTGGAACCTAGACTAGAAAGAAGGACTGGCCTGGGTTTATCAAGCAGCCACTGAGGCTTGGTGTGAAAATCCCCTAACATGAGAGGTGCTAAGATTGTTGAGCTGCGTGAGTCAGGCTGAAGATCAGCGGTAGAACCATTGGACCATTGCTTGATTAGACTCTCACGCCAGAAGGGAAGGCAAGTCATAGGAGCAGCTGCCTTCCACAGAAGCAAAGTGGCTGACGGCAGGGGGTGCCAAAGGAGAACATGTGAGGTCACATCTAGCCACGAGGGTGTGGCTGGTGAGTCGTTCTTCTAAACGGCCTAACCCATAGGCTTCTCGGAAAAATTCCAGTGTGTCTCTCTGGATGAAAAGTGATAACTACATCCAACAAAAAACAGCCCACATTTCAAATCCTGAATCCTCCTGAGCCCTGCTTGTGCATGAGCTATGGAGCGATGATTATCAGAAGCATCACTCTGAGTACTGACTAAAATAAAGACCATTGCAATCTGCTCATGGGCGTTCATCAAACAAGGAGCTTATCAATGAGGCACCCAAAAGTAGCACAAAGGTTAAACACAGTGGAAGAAAAAACCCTCGTCAAAGGCTAAGGGGAAAAATATTGGTCTTGGGGCTATAATCACACCCAGGCAGAGAGAGACACATTCAAATCTGTGGGGATCTTCACAGGTGCCAGGGACCACTTTCAGAGATCCAACTGGGGGATCAGAACCATAGTATTGGTGATGATAGATACTTTCCCAACAGGGTGAGGTACAGCATTGCAACAGGGCAATGTCTAGGAACAAAGGGTATTATATCTACACTTGCTCCCTAGTTTGAACTAGGGATGCAAATGTAGCTGACTGAAATTGCTAACGAAGCGGGGATTTAACTATCCTGCTCTTCAGTAGCATAATCTAGCCCGCATGCTATTCTGCTCGCCAGCCGATTCAAACCAGGAAATGTGCTCCTGGACTGCATTTTTTGGGAGCAGTAATGTTAGTTCGAACCAACGGATTTGATTCAAACTAACGCATCCCGGAGTGCACTTCCTGGTTTGAATCAGCTGGTGAGCGGACTAGCGCATGGGCGAGATTATGCTAATGAAGCATGGGATATTTAAATCCCCGCTTCATTAGCAATTTCGGTCGGCTACATTTGCATCCCTAGTTCGAACTAGGGAGCAAGTGTAGATGTACCCTTAGAGACCTCCACTTTCAGCAAGAGCTTCATAAGAGAGAGAGAGAGCTATGTAAATGGAGGAAGGAATAAAAGTCTGAATATTGCTGTGGATTCGCTCATTCTGTTTTAATCTCAGGCACAGAACAGTATCACAACAGCATCTGAGCAACTCGTTAGTTTTTTGCTGGGATCTCCCCTTCATTTCTTCCACCCTTTGAAGTGGTGGGAAACCAAGGAATAAAGGATGATCTCCAACAGGAGTTGCATTTTTTTCTAGTTTTAAACAAAACTAGAAAAGCAATGGTGAATGTTGATTAAAGCACACAATATCTTATTTTCTGGAACAATGGCACTGCTGCTTAATCACCACTAAAGAAATTATGAGGGTATGATGTTCATCTTGTAAATTATGTTTTAATTTAACAGGCAGTTTTACAATTTAAACCTAATCCCGCACCACAACAACATACTTGGCCATTTTGACTTAATTCAACATGTAGGTCTGTTCCCTTATTTTCATGGAGAATTAGGCTAGGGTCTAGCATTACAACTCTACAGAGCAGTTCACTGCTCCCGTTCTACTTCTGCATTTCTTTATCTCTTTACAAACTTCTATGTGACATTGAGATTCTTCTTTGAGACGCGCTGTTGTTTCCCATCCTACCTCTTTACGCTTCTATTTGGTACTTAAGAGAAAGAAACCCATTAAAACTGCTCAGCTTTGACATCCCTGGCTAGTATTCCCTCACAGTCATGACCAGAGTTCCCTCTGTTTCTTTTCATCCATGTGCAGAATATATTTTGTATGTGTACTGAGGTATGTGTGGATGTGCACTACCCATAGAAACACATGCTGCTGGCTGTGAGTGCTCTTCTAATCAGCTTGGGTGGCATTTGAATCTTTCCAGGGGGTCCTCTAAGCTTACAGGGAACACTGATCATGATCTCAATGATCAGAAATTCAAAAAAGAGCCCTACAAAATGTGGAAACTAGAGCAAAGCATAAATATAAACAAAAACACAAATATGTTGGGACAATATTAGAAAGGCCAAGGCCCAAAATGAGACTAAGCTATCCAGAGGCATAAAGGGTAACAAGAAAACATTCTACTTAAACTATCCAGAGGCAACAAAGGGTAACAAGAAAACATTCTACAAATACATTAGAAGTAAGAGGAAGACCAAGGACAGGGTAGGCCTGTCATTCAACGAGAGAGGACAAAACCAATAACAGAAAACGTGGACATGACAATTGTCCTAAATGACTTTATTTCAGTTTTCACCAAAAAAAGGTTAGTAGTGATTGGACATCTAACGCGGTGAATTCCAGTGACAATGAAATAAGATCTGAGGCTAAAATAGGAAAAGAACAAGTTAAAAATTACTTAGACAAGTTAGATGTCACTAGGTCCTGGTGAAATACGTCCTAGAATATTCAAGGATCTTACTTCATGAGTTGCATTCTATTTATATTGTATTAAGTCAGAACATTTTCTTTCACAGTTAATAAGATCTATCATGGAGGTGATGAACAGTGCACTGAGGTAACATTAGCCTGCATCATTAACCATTAGAAATAGTTAGAGGAATTATACAGCAATTTCTTACTGTTGTAAGCAGAAAGTGTTATTTTCTAAAATGAGCAATCTTCTAAACGTAATCACATTTTATGGCAGGCAAACAATTTCACATTCTTTATGAAAATATCGTGGGCAGGCCAAAATACTCGTTATCACACTCTCTTAACAAGCTGTCTATTCAAAATGGCCTTAAATCTTTATGGGTGTCATTATCACACTCTCTTAACAAGCTGCCTGTTCAAAATGGCCTTAAATCTTTATGGGTGTGTCTACACAGCAAAGTTATTTCAGAATCATTGCCGTTATTCCAAAATAACTTTGCGAGCGTCTATACAGCAATTCCGTTATTTCAAAATAATTTTTAAATAACAAATGGCTTATTCCAGCTTCTGTAAACTTCATTCTACGAAGAATAATGCCTATTCCAAAATAGCTATCTCAAAATAAGGCGCGTGTAGATGCTCCACTTCTGCTATTTCGAACTAGCCCCTCGCCAGGGCCATTGTAAGTAATTCTTCCTGGGGGCAGATAGCACCTCTACATTAGGGAAGTCT